CAAGCAAAGACAAAATAAGAGAAAGACAAAAACAAGAGCAATAGAAAGAGAAAAACTAACTCCGTGTGGCTTTGTTTGATCTTACCGAAGTGCACTGGTTGTGTAAATTGCGCACGCACTGATAGGGTAACTTCCAATATATATCGGGCACACTTCTGATTTCTTTAAATGCTAAAGGAAACACAGTTTTTCCTTAAATCCAGCCATTTTGGACGGATTTCAATTAAAACCAACATTGGAAACATAGCTATGCATTCCTTTTTCAAAATCATGCTTTTTTCAGAAAATTACAAACTTTTTAATACTTTGAAATTCTCTCAAAATCTGACCTTTTAGAAATGAAACGAAATCTATGCATAGCGTAATGAGTATTTAAATTAAAATATTAAATCAATGAAAAAAATTCCGATAAAGTAATTTGCCTAGGAGCCTTTGCATTTTTTCAGTATCAGTCACATGACCATGGGCGTTGCCTGATGACATCATCACTAGTGTTGCTGATCATGAAAAAGTTAAAACACATGAAATAACTCTGAAGTAACTAGAAATGACGAGGTTATATGAGAATAAATTTTCCCTAGCAACGGCTCGAAAAGATCGGTTAATGGGCCCTTAAATAGACATAAAAAACAAGCGGGGTTGTAAGCTACAGCGTTCACCTTTGTTCGTTCAGTCCAGGAGCCCATGGGCTTCTGTTCAGACTGAGTCACTTTTTTGCTATTTAAACAATATTTTAAACTCGATATACTTAAACCTGTTTTGTAGTGCCCATGAGCACTGCGTAGTTGGTCATGTGATCACAGTGGCACTCTGTGTGTCCCTCATTACTAGAAAACACATAGCAGCCTCGTTTGGACCATTCCCCAAATGGAGTACGCGCACTCCTGCAAGAAATCAAAGGTACTATGCAAACCAACGTAATGGCACTAATAATTACTTACACAGCAGACGGCCTTATCGAGAAGAACGCTCAGCTCATTCGTTAGGCTGAGAGAATTAATAAAGTATCAGAAGGGGAAAAACTTAACAGTTACACATGAGGATTATGATTACCCGGTAGTAAAATAAATTGACTGAGGTAACGTCCTCGGAGGTCTAAGGCACGACTCACAGTCCTTGATTGAACAACTCATCCCCACCCCCTACTCTCTTACCCTCCCTGGTGGGATTGTAGTCCATCGCAGATAACCCCCTTTCTAAGGTTTCCCTCCGGTATTATTTTATTTACACTCCTGGGTGAAAAGAGGCATTATATGAGTGAGTAACTTTTCAGCAAAAATAACACAATGCAACGTCCCAGACCAGCGCTTGCACCCGGTCTGCTGGTTCCGGAGTCTAATGCACTAATCGTCTGCCCAGCTTGTCTCCCACCACGATTGAAATGAAACGGAATTACACTGAAATGGTACCGTGGTTCGAACCTTTGTGTATAGTCCCAGAAAACACACTGAGGAGTAGAGTAGTCATTCTAAATAGGAAAACAAATTTAAGAAATTATTAACGTTAAAAACATCTTACACGAAAACACTATGGTTTTACTACATGTAACTGTGAACAAGAAATCTAAAATTCTACACTGCGCATGCCGAGTCATGTAGGCAACATAAGTGGGAACATAGTTAGTAGAAGGGAATGGTTATAAAGCCCGACAAACATCAAAGGAGCAAACAAAGATGCCAAGATTTATGTTGGAAGGTCCAGCGAGCGTTTTGCCTTCATACACTATGCATGAGTTACGTAACCAAAACGTTTCTATTGGTTAGTCCCTCGGCCAGTGGGAAACAACTATTGTGTTTTGTGCACGGTCAAGGACAAAAAAGAGAGCAAAAACATACAACAAAGAACTTTGCCGAGTTTCATAACCATTCCCCTCTATTAACCATGGTGGGAATCATGAGTTGTTCATGTATGGAACTGAGAAAATATAAGCTAATATGCGGAGTGATCGTGTGGTTGCTATACTCACTTTATTGTGTTTCACATCAATTTTAACTGGTCTGGACAATTGACTTGGTGGTGGTGGCTGTGTGAAGACATTAACAACCTTACTTGCCACTGTCTGGTTATCTTCAGAGCTATAACAGTTAATAAGAAGAAAATAAACTAGCAGGACAATCAATAATTTTCCGGATTGTTATCCCATAAAATCTATTTTACAGACTTTACATTTTTAATTAGTGCGCGTGATTTCGTTCCTCGTGACTTAAAAGCGAACTTCGAATATTCTGATTCTTCACAAATGGTCAACAAATGTCAAACTTTTCTATTTCACGTCTCCTAATTCTATTATGGGTATAACTGGGTTTCTTAGTCAGAAAATTCCGTAAATAAAAAACTTGGGAAATCTCAACATGTGACTCCAAATGATGGTGGAATCATATCTAGGCCAGGGCCATTGTCGTCTTCTTTTAATGTCATGGTTTTCCTCATTAGTGACCGCTAGTTTGTTTGCAACCAATATTGGCTGTAAGCAAAAAGTCTGGGAAAATATCTGATCGTATAATAAATATCGTTTAACAAAACTTACTTGTCAAATGTGTGGGGATCCTGCAGCACTTGGAATGGATCAAACACCAGACTAACCAACACGGCGGTATCTATGAATATAAAGACTTCAAGCTATCCCTTACAGCGTTTATTAATGGCAGCTGGTCAGTAATAATTATTATAATGGTATTTAAACATAAGGAGAGAGGGAAACCGTTTTTCGCCCTTCGGCTCGAATACTAAAATAACAGTTGTCAGTCGCACAGTTCCTTTACAATAGACACTTTACATAAATGGCACCCATATTTGAATAACAATAGACCAATTTCGATATATTAAAATTCAGCCTAGAACAATAGACCTCAATACGAGGCTCCGGGGAATAACTGCAGAGTTTGTGGAGTTTATTCCCTAGAGCCTCGTGCTGAGGTCTATTGTTTTAGGCTAAATTTTAATATATCGAAATTGGTCTATTCTTGATACATCCTTAGCCTCGTATTGATGTTTCCAGACAAAGGAATTTCACTCGAATATGAGGCATGATGTATTATTATTGCCATTCAAATATCGGCGCAAATATTTATACAAAGTGTCTATCGGGTAGCTGGGTTGCAATAGGTGCGCCGCGTACACATGTGGAGACATTGTCACTGATAGCTTGCTTACCTTTGATTGCATTGCCAATCACGTGACTAAATACTTCTCTTGGGAAAAAGACTGAGCTGTTATCTGCGTCAAGAATTCCTAACTGTATCCCTTGAAAGGTAGATATGTTGACTAGCAGAATGCGTGACACTTGGAAGGAATGGAGAATGGCTTCATGTTAAATATAGATTCAAATTCATTGCTGCAACAAAACGTAGCTTGCTAAAGAAGGTTCACATTCCAACCCTCAAAGTAACTAGAAACAATATTTTTTGTAACATACCAAGGCCCCCTGCATGAAATTTTAAATCGCCGGAATTCCTAACGTTTTTCTTTCTTATTGCTTCTCCAATCATTCCAGTGAACTTCTCCAAAGCATGGAGAACGTCCAACGGAGTTGATATCTGTTTAAGTGGAAAATATACTTAAATCAATATAAAATTAATGGTAATCACGTAAAATTGTTCTACTAAACGCATTACCATCATTTTGAATTATTTCAACTTACTAGACGAGATGCGTTCGTAATGCTGTCCAAAAAGTCTCCAAATTGCAGAAGGGATGCAGATTTTCTAAAATAATCCTGCAAAGTAAAAGAAAGTTTGCAATTATCGAAGTTGGAGACAATAAAGTAACCTGAATATGGTGCATTGTGAGTAGGTAATGAAATATAACATTTCGTAAGTGATAAGTGTAAACCAGCAATGTAGTTTATTGCAAGTAGATTTAGGTTGGGTGTTGTCAATAGCCAGCATTGTAATCTAAGTAATGTACTGTAAATGTAGTGTAACATACGCAGTGTAAATAAAAAATAAAAATGAAGTAACTGCAATGACCTACCAATAATGGCATGACTGTAGGAATAAAAATTAGCTTTAGAGCATCCGGCGATCATATCAGTGAACGACATTCTGTGCTTAGAAGTTTAACTATTTGTATTCTCTAGTCACAAGAGAACACAAACGTTCGTAAAGAAAACGAAATACATCCATTGATGAGTGCTAACCTCGAGAAATGTGCTGTTTTCGACGTCAATGTGTGTGTTGTTGAAGTTCAAGACAAATCTACGATCTGTGGAGAAAATATTAAACTTGCTAGGTCAAGTAAAACAACATAAAACCAATAGAAGATATTTCACCACACATGAAAGACCTACATTCATTTCATGGAGTAGGCACATTCTTAAACTAGTTCCAATGACAGTTAAAACAAAATTTAAAATAGCAACTAAACACAAACGATGTCTTTCTGAACTTTAAGTAAAACTCTTACTCTTGGCATAATTTTTGACATACATCTAAAAAAAATACAAAATAACCAGCCGTCTTTACAACCGCTCTAGGATCAAGAGAGAAAAGAAACCATAAGTCGAAGTTTCTATTCGTTTATCATAAAAAGGTCAATGAGCTTTTTGCATACCCTCCAGCAGTTTCTTTATAAGGTCTTCTCTGTCCTGATTGGTTCTCGACGCCATAACCGTAACTTCGACTGTCGTAGAAGGTGCAATTGTAACAAGGTTTATTAGTTGTGATGTGTTCGGTACTCTTGCGATTGAGGCAACATCCAAAACTTGCGTTTTGTTTTTTTCTCTAAAAGACGTCATTAAATTTGACGAGTGTGAAACGCTGGAGACAAAAACTGTATGAGTCATTTCATTCATAACAGGCTGCGTGGTAATGAAGGAAACGTTAAACACAGAAGTCATGAGAGGTGGTCCGGTTAAAGATGTATGCTGCGTTGATTGTTCTGAAGACATTCTAGTTTCACTTGCTGGTGAGGTTAGAGAAATAAAAGCTGATGAAGACGCAGAAACATAGTTTGCACCGCTAGGGATGCTTCCAGATTCCTTGACAGAGCTACGATAGATCTGGATTGAAGTTGCCGTTGTTTTGGTTGAACTGGATCTGGATCTGGATATCAAGGCTACAAATACGAAATAACGATCAATAGAATAAGGTGTAATAACCAGGGTTCAGATTTTAAAAATAACAAGATACGGGAAAGGATTGATTCCAAGGGTTAGTATGGGAGATGGAGGCTCCGGGTCATGGGCTCCTGGAATAACCTATTTCAAAGTTCTGTATATGCTTATCAGTTTTATTCAAAACATCGCGTCCTTCGGCGATTTGCGTGCCGTTCGACTTCGAAACTTTATGAATGCCCCTTTCTAATGGCTAATTTCCTTACGTGACGCGCCTGCAGAGGATCGTGGTAGCTGTAGTCTTTATAAAAAATGTTAATAATATTTGTACTCAGAATATGCATCGATATGCATTATTCGTTCATTTTCATTAATTTCAAAAGTAGTTAGATTATACCCTTCAAGAATAAAAAGGAGACAACCCATATGTCTAATTCTGAAAAGTAGATGTTTTAGTCAAAAAATTGGTCGAGACCTCGAAACTTCGAACCTGAACTGGGATTACCCGGTCAGATCATGATGACTCCGAAATACGAATGCTTTGAACAAGAGTTTTTTTAACACGCATGATATTTTCTACAGTATCGTCAAGTCATTAAAACGCTTACCGTAACATAGTGCCTCCGTAACCATGTCAGACACTGAAGAATTATAAAAGTCGTCGGAGTCAACAACATGAATTACATCGTGAAAGTCAGCAATATCTCTGATATTACTTGCTTTATCAAAAATGACAGCAATCTTTTTAACTCCTCCAAGCTTTCCATCAGGGACTTTAAACCCCTCTGGGTAGATTGAATTTACTTCCCTTTTCAACATCAAGAATGCCTCTGGTGTCCTCGTGAACGTAGTGTTGAACAGTTTTTCCAAATCGCTCCCGCTGGATACCGGTGTCAGACGCAACAGACTAGAGACAGCATTGTGCAAAGGCACAAATTCGTGAAACTGACCAAACGTAATGTTTACGTGGACGTCTGTATTATAAAGTACGACAGCAACATCAGCTGCATTCCCCTCCAGATTCAACACAACCGTATTGATCAAAATTCGTTGATTTTCAAAGTCTATTTCGGAGATTGCCTGGGACGACTCGATTGCAAACACGATCCTTGGAGTGTTTTGGCATTTTGTGTTTGCGACTGTGGAGAGGAATGATCATTGAGTTAAAAAATGAAATAAAGTAAACTTTACAATTTTGCGTATAAGAATGAGAGTATAAATAAAATTGAAGGGCTGCCAGTCTGGTGCAAACTTGTTATTCACGTTTTGCTAGTTTTTCTTAATCCTAATCTTAATCTTAATCTCCGAGTTAGCGATGGAAAACGATCTTTAAATTTAACCTGCCGTAAGGTTTCTATTTAATTTTTATTTTTTATTTTTTTATTTATTTTATTATTATTTATTTTTTTTTTTACTTTTCAGCCTACTTTTTGTTCTCGCCTTTTCAAAACTTCCCGCTTTTGTGCTTAAATCTGTTAAATACCGGCAAAAAACCTCCTCCTTGTCCTTGAGCAATGTATGAATTAATCAATTTCGTATGCGGGTGTGTTTGTCTTTCACCTGTCTGTTTTACAATTTTTTAATGTCAATCACCCTGCATCGATTAAAGATAAAGCACTATACTAAGTGTGCCTTTCAATGTAAATTCGTCGTCATTTTTTCCTTCTCCGCCGACTATTTGTCGTATATATACCTGAACGATGTTAATAAATCTTCTGCTAACTACATATTGTTATAATATGAGGTTTTATTTTATTTTCGCGAGTTCGAGATAGCGGGAATAGTCCAAAAGTTCATCTTATGACAGATTTCCTTGCAGCTGAATGAAGCTAACTACCCTGATGCAAAGAAATCTAACTGGTGAATCCCTTGTAACAATCCGTAGGTAAAGCCTGCATACGAGCCAAGTGGCCCATCAGACCGGAGCTTATCCTGGTTTCTGTAGCATGAAGCGACTAGGAGTATTTTTACTCCCCTCTGGATGGGATGTTAGTCCATCGCAGGGTTACCCCCAGCATTAAATTCGCCGATACCCATTTATATACCTAGGTGGAGAGAGGCACTGTGAGAGTAAAGTGCCTTGCCCAAGAACACAACAAAATGTCCCCGGCCAGGGCTCGAACCCGGACCGCTCGATCCGGAGACGAGCGCACTAACCATGAGGCCATCACAATCCATATTTTTCCTTATTTTTCTCTTTCTGTATCATTAACTCTATTAATTTACTCCACTGTGATTTCAACACACTTTGCACTGATAGCCATGAATGAGCTTGAAGAGCTTGAGCAAGAACCTCGAAACAAAACAGAGAACAAAATAGGTGACAACAAACCTGGACATGTAAAACAACCAATGAGCAAAATGAGTATTATCCAGTCCTTAAATGCCATATTGACAACTTTGGGTAACCGTAACCAACTTGAAACCACATAAAAACTGCAGTAAAATCAATGTATCTTCAACAGCAACTGGCCGCATGGTTGGAGATAAAATTTCAAACCTTGCATCACATAAGAAAAGTGGTTGTTTACACAGTATGAGAAACTTCATCTGTTCATAATTAAACCTTCAAGAAGCTTTCAAAGGGACATTGATGAGGTTTTAAGGGAAAAGACTCAGATGTCGGAAGTTTCTAAACCAACACTCGTTCTTTTCTGGATCTTGTATTTGTATTTCATGACAGCTTTTTATTTGCCATTTTAACACAAACGCGGCGACTGTTGCTCCCTTGACGAAATCAAAACACAGCTTGAAATCAAGTTATTCAGACCCAATTGTAATTGAAAATTTTATTTTAATGGCAGTGAAAATCAGTTGGAAGTTCGAAAATTAAAAATGTATTATCAAAGCAAATGATAGTTGCATGCTTTCGGCAGAGAAATGAAAATGAAGGGAGTCTTGGTGTTAAGTAAATGTTAGTTCACTCAGAAGAAACTTGCGGCAATGACTGAACATGAAAGAGCCTTTGTTGAAAAAAGGGAACAAAACCTAATTGAGCTCTTGACGTAAAATGTCCTCTTTACTTTGCTTTGCGATTTCGAATTTTAATTTGTCATATCAGTTGCACACACATACTTTTGTTCAACGAAAAATAGATCGGAAAATTAAATGAAAATATGAACATAATGAAACGGGATAATACATTGAAAAAATCAAATTAAAATCGTGGAAACTGTTATTATCAATTCATATGTTTAAGTTATCCTCAGATTCATAGACCTGATAAAATCTCCTCATGTATGCTTTTTGGAGACAGCTTAATCCGGATAGTTTATGGACAAGGGGGTGGCGACGTGTACGAAGCAAAAATGCTTCCAACCTCCAATGTTTTATTTAACATACATGAGTTATGGACCAAGTGTGAGGTCAGGATGGCAAAATATCGGCTACAAGTGGAATAAAACATACCAAAATCGCATAGAACCCTTACTCATTAATAAAGACATCAGCAAAATTAGCCAAATGGGTGGCCGAATGGTGACGAGTGAAATTGGGAAATAATTTCACGGGCGTTTTGTCAAAATTGTAATAATTTCCCAACTCTTCAGGCGAGGGAAATTATTTGAATTTTGACAAAACGCCAGCGAAAATATTTCTTAATTTCACGAATATACTATTTGATTACTTTTTAATATCATGGGTGGAAGGTGTCGCTTGCAATCCTGGGTTTTTGACTTGTTTATTGTATCGAGAAATTCTGCGCCAACGTTGCCATGGCAATTTTGTAATTTCACATGTGACATAATGATTAACGCTGAAGTCTCGCGTCAAAATTAAGGAGCAATTTGTCACCCATGATATATGTAATGAGGACAGCGGTCCTTCGTGACTTACTTAAAGCTAAATCTATATTCAAAAATTAAAGGGTATTCATATGCTGCTATACAGTACGATGAAAAGCAAGCTTAATCAGACACTCATTAAAAGAGAGCAAGTGCAAAACATTAACTTACCAAAAACAGGTCTTTTTGTAATTTGTTATGAGCGAATTCGTCGTGACGTCATTGTTGGCCTCATTAGCATATGATTTTGCGTGCAGAAGATATCATACCCTATGATCCATCAAGTATTTTCCCTCGCACACGACTGGTCTAAACTCGTCACGTCCCGAGTTTTCAAATTTTGCATGTTGCAAAAAGTATTTCAGGGGTAACAAATATAAACACAATCTCCATTTGACTTTCAATATATGCTCGGATATTTTTCCTGTTCCTTGAAGCTCGCAGTTTTCCTCGAGTTTCGCTCTCGCAAAACTGTTCCTTTTTCGGAACAGATATTCTCCGAGGACAAATATCCGAACATGTGATCATTTGAAAAGCAATATTCAGTAAACGTTTTAGCTCTTACATGTTATATTGGAGAATATATTTGCTTCCAAAAGCTGTAAAATATCTGGGGAAAAAAACGCCAATAAGCCTACACATTCCTTGGAAAATTTTGAAATTTTTATCCCGGATCACATTGCATATTTATAACGTTATTTTTCCAAATTTCATTTCTTGATTTATTTCCTATATGGATTTGCATTTCGTTGCGAAACACTATGTTTTGGATAAATCTAAACGTTTCCAACAACTCCAGCTTAAGAAAAGAGAAGGTAAACGAAAGGCAGTTTATTTTGTTACAAACAAAGATAGGAGGTTTTTTTAGTTTTTGTTAGATACATTTTTTAAAAAAATTTACTTTTGTTTCTAACAAATAAATGCGGACGTCTGGCATCCACAGAAACAAAGAACCGTCAATGCCTGTTTCACTGGTTTTGATTAAATACTTGAAAAGCACAAAAAGTTCGTGCAACACGATTTGAATCACATGCGATAATTGTTGTCGGAACGATCACTGAGATCGCTGGAGAGTGGTCTCCACATGCATGATCGATAACGCAACGATAGCTGAACTTTACGATCGTAATAATCATTTAGGAACCAGCCTATAGTAAAAGCCTTTTTACTCGTAGAATTTAAGTTTTTTTCCTTTTTTGATTAAAAAAAATACAGTTATTTAATCAGCATATAAACAACACGCTGTGACAGTGAAATATCCCGTGCGGCTCTCGCAGCGTGAACCAATCACATTCCTTCTTTTGCCAGTGAAGAACGTGCAGTAAGACAATTGGCGCTCAACTTGAATTTGTTATCCCAGTTGCACATGAGAGGGAACAAAGGAGCTAGCGAATATTTCGATGCCTAAAACATATGAAACTAGTGAGTCCACGTCGGTAGACCCAAGATTAAATAGTACCAAGGCTGTAGTTCTATACTGTTAGCTGACAAAGATGAGCCAGGTAAGGCAGTGCTTTAGTCTCAATTCAAAAGAACCAAATTTTCTGATTTTGAGAGAGTTGAAGTTATGTTTGAACCAGTGAATAATTTCAGTCATAGCAACATATGTTCTTGGCAAACTGTAATTCTGTTAGTTTTCTTTGCTTTTTTCAATTCAGAGGAAGCCATTGAAGGAATTACGCCAAGCCACAACAAAACGGAGCCTATTTCAATCACTCGGCCTCGCGAATTATTCATGGTGGCGAGATGCGAACGTTTTCAATCTCCCGATACTCATGTCAGGTACATGTGCGTTTGTCTGTAATTTGTTTGGTTTATTTTCATCCGTAATTTTGCCGCATGCAATGTAGCGTATTTTCCCCAAGTTTTTACGTTGTACTTATGACAAATCTTGATAACATTTTACAGCATAAACTTTGAGCGCAAGGAAGGTGTCAGAATTTACGAATTAGAATGACGGATCTGAAATCAAAAGCCCCTGAACAAAACTTGCTTTTTCATTTCACTTCCATATCTTTTATTTGAGACAAATGCTGTTCGTGTGTATTTTAAATGTATGGTTAAAACGACCAATCAAAATCGTGTGAATTTCGGCAAAAATTCCATATAACACAATATTAAATTGTGCATACATTTTTTCAAAGTTGTTCTGCTCGTATATCGGGAATACTTTGAAAGAAATTGTATATGTGATCAGGTAAAGGCTATGTGGAAATTTCAGTTCAGGGTAAAAATTGGCTCTTAGTTGTTCTTAAGCCTCGATTTTTTTTCTTTTTAGGTTAGTTCCCGCTGACGTCGTCCAGCATTCAGTCTATTGTTCTGAGGTAGAAGTCCATTCCAGTGGAACCATTCCAATCGCCCAATATTTTCAGCATCGCCTTGGCAACGTCAGACATCAGTCTTTCTTCTGGTAGTGGTTAGTGCAGTTCTTTGTGGGCAGGGTAGGGTGGGTAAATAGGAGCTCTGGATGACCCTTAAATTCGGCAAACGTTCAGCCAACATTCGGCTCACATTCGCTCATATTCGATTGATCCGGCGTAACTTATTTTAGGCAACTTAGTTAGCTTTGGGTGGTTTGGGTTCGGGCCTCCCCTTTTCCTTCCTTGGGTTTCATGATTCGGCCTTCGTATAATGATTGGCTCATTCAGTAGTTCTGCAAAAAAAATAATGTTCGGCTTTTCTTCGGTACAGTTCGGCAGTTGTTTCGGCAACAGTTCGGCGTCCGCGCAATCTCCCGCTTAGTGTCTTCTAATTGTGAAAAAGAGTTTTCTCTTTTCTTAGTTTCTGTCAATGGCAGTGCTATCACTGTTATTGTCAGGCACTTTTCCTTTTAATGACAGCATTGTCGTTGTTATTAATAGGGTCTTTTTTCGGCTCAAGGTTCATCCAGATGTTTACAATAATTTTAATTCATTACAAAAATTAGCAAACTAGAGACCGACCGCTAAGTGGGTATCTGGGACAAAACCATACACCTAGATAACTGGCTTACTTAAAGTTTAGCGTAGGTAGCCTCCATCTGCCGGATACTTGATCACCAAGGTGGCACCACTGCTGCACGAAGATCCTCATCTATCAAGAAGGTGTACAGACAGCTAAAGCAAAGCCTGGAAGTTAGTTAAAATTTCCTGGGAGGCTTATCTCGCTCACAGGCGACGTTAACAACCAGATTTGCACATGTCTCTTTGCTAACGTTGCCTCGTGAGACGAGTCTCTTCAAGGAATCCGCTTGCATTGCACTTAGCAGGCGCAGGAAGCTTAGACCGTCTACAAATCGTAGGCGTTGGTAGACTTCACAACCGGTGGAACAACTGGAGCACGTATTGGAAGGCTGGATCGAGTCAAGCTCACTCGAAAACAATTGAGGAGACCTCTTAAGCACTAAAGCTTGGATAAAGAAGAGCCAATTTATCGCGGACTAGCAAGACAGTTTTGAGTAAATTAGTTAGGTAGACGCATTGCCGGCAAAACAACAGGAATCTGAACAACTGGAACAGCAAGACCACATCATCGCATCTGAATTGGTCCGAAACAAGATGGTGTAGGTAGCATAGACGATAATCATATAACTCAGTATGTACCACACTGGTGAATATTGGTTCGAGTTCGGACGCTAGAATTAATTGGTTGATCGATCGATAAACAAACCCATTGGATTCTTTTAAGCCAATCTGGAATGATTTCACTAAATGACTACATGTTCACATTTTCCTTACTCGC